GTCTGTATTCTTCCGTTCACTCTCAGATTTTAGCAATGCCTATACTAAGAGATACTAAGACATTTAAAATGTGTTTTTATTAAACTTCAGAACATTTTGAACAACATCTGAAACAGCTCTCCAATACTGCAAAAACATCACTTACTGGGCTTTAAGTCTTTCACATATCATCAGGCATACTATTTCAGCTGCTGCTGTTTTTGCTCTTATACAAAGACTTATACAGTAGATTATATGATTGTAATAATACCTTTGGGCCAGGCAGTCCTATACCAGTTTCCCCAGGGAATCCAGGAGGTCCTGGGAGGCCTCTTTCCCCCTTTAAAAAAAGAGAAAAAGGAAGCAATTTTACTCTTAAACTTTTTCAGTTTTGCAAATTTCTGGAAGACTCACACACTCAAATTGCTTAAAAAGAACAGATTTTGAATATGAATAACAGTTCTACTTTTGCTTAGCCTTTTAGTAATAATATATTTTAGTCTCACTAATATCATCTTACATGATGACCTTAACTACACCCTTCTCCCCTCCACACTTACAAGAAGAAAAAGGTATTTCCTGCCCACAGTGATACCAGCAAAACCAAAACTTTGCTGGTTTTAGTGTGGACACAACAATTTTCTTCACAACATTGCTGCATGCTGGGTATAACTTTTCAATCAATGTATAGGGAACTGTGTGCCTTTTAGGGCTATGTGAAGCTTCGGTCCCTGATTCAATTCAGCAGAGACCCTTTAATCTCTCCGAATTGAATCGGAACCCTCTGAATTGATTTGGAAAGATTTGGCAATAGACACAGCTTTAAATGTTTTTTCTGCATACCTCAAGGTAGCTTGTGGCTCATGAATGCTGTGACGGTGGGGTGGATGGAGCATCCCACAGGAGTGTGGCGGGGTCCCCAGCATGCTCAGCAGCAAACCCGGAAGTGGACCACAAGTACTTCCGGTGCACTTCTGGGTCTGCCAGGCGCATGCTGCCCACCCCCCCAATACCTGCTGGCTTGGCGACTGGTGACTCCTGGGTCAGGGGAACACCCAGGGTCCCCCCACATCCTATCACCAAGCCAGGGAGCGTGTGGGCCCCGCCTCCAGCAGACCCAGAAGTGGACTGGAAGTACTTCTGGTCCAGTTCCGGCTTCTCTGCCAAGCACATGGGGGGCACCCCTGTGCTCCCATGGGACGCTTCATCTGCCCCACCGTCACAGCATTCATGAGCTGTGCCTGGTACCTCAAGGTATGTAGAAAAATCATTTAAAGCTCTGTTTATGGCCAAATTGCTGATTTTCCGAATCAGCATCAAATCTTCAGATTTGGATTTGGTCTAATCGAATCAGGGATAGTGATCCAAATCAATGAATCAAATCACTGTCCCCAATTTGGGCTGAATCTGAATTGAATATGGCCTGTTTCACACACCTCTAGTGCCTTTAGTGCTCTAAATGCAATGCAGAACCTACATGAAACAGAACTAAATGGAGGGCATCTCTGAACAGCAAAATGATTAACCTTTCAGATGAATCTACCCAACATAGGCAGCCACACTGTTGAGAAGCCCTAGTCAAAACTATACAGGAAAAAGAGACAAGAAGCTGTCAGAATTACCAAATTCTCTTGAGAGACCCCAGGCATAGGTATATGCCCCCACTACAGAGGAAGGCAAAAACACCTACAATCTGTACCAATCTGACTGTACCAATCTGACCATGAGAAAATTCCTTTCTATGACAAATATGGCAATTGGTTTGACACCGCTAATTGGACTGCTCTAAATATCTCAAAGTAATACTTAACAGCTTGCTAGGTAATACATATAGATGTCAGATATGGGATTTCCTGGAAATATAAGAGGGGAGGAGAAGGCAGAGAAGAACACTATTTTAATAAGGATATTATTTATAATAGCTAAGAAAACAAAAGTTATTCTTGCCTTTGATCCTTGCAGACCTTCAGGTCCTTGATCTCCTGGTGACCCTTGTGGACCCTATTAAAATAAAAATGCTTTTATTAGAGTTTTTTAACCTTTTAGAATAAGGGAGTTAGAGAAGCAAACAATATTTCCCCCCAGTACAAATAGAAACACTTGTTTGAATGCTTAAAAATGTAACATACTTCATAATCCAAGATCTATGCATATAACTCCCACTGATATAAATGGGAGCAGTATAAACATCTCAGGAAAGAATTTTTCAAGGCTTCAGGCAATCCCTAACAATCAGAGATCAGGGATATCACTTAAAACCAAGGCAGATCAGCCTATTGCCAGGTTCATTTTTTCTTTTTTCAAGCAGAATAAAAAGTCATTATTAAAAATAACTATAGTTATAGTTTCCCTATAATTCCTGTGTTTATATTGCAAGCTTCTATGGATATTTACTTACATAGGGTTATTCTTTTCTATAAAATATACAGCTTCCAGTAAAGGGTGTTATGACAAACATGATTAATTTAAAATGTGCAACTTTGACTTTCCTGGGCTGTATATTGTTTCATAACTTTTTCCGATTTTACATTATTTTTTTGGGGGTGCTTTAAAGCAAGCTTGTATAGGAAGCACCAGCTGTGTTTAAAGCTGCATGTAAAATACTTGGGGAAATGAAGGGTAGTGGAATTTTTTTCCTTAATTAATGGCTTCAGGGTGGTCAGTCAAGATGTAATAGAATTTGAGAGATGGGACTGGAGGCACAGTTCACTGCTTCTAACAGGTATGAAGTAGAAGGGGCTTAGCTCAGGGGAAAATTCAGAGATTCTTCCTCTCCCCTAGATGGAAGCTGCTCATCTCGGAGAGGGAGCGGATGCTGGAGCTTCTCTTCAAGGGCCTCCCAAACCAATCAGAAGCATTCAAGAGCACCCCAAGGGCATATGAGGTGCCCACAAATTTTGCCAAATAGTGTTCCTTCTGTAGATGAAACTGAAGTAGATTATGATGTAAATGAGATCACCCATACTATTTTCATGAACTGCATATTCATTTAACTGCTTACAGAATGAATGAATGAACTTTGAATAAGTGAGAAGCAATACCAAAGGCACAAACAGAAGTGCAACTCCCAGTCAAACTCATGGCACTTCACATAAAGTGCCATGAGCTAAACCAATCCTCTCAACCCAACAGACCTTAGCTGTTGGATCAGGAGGGTGGAGGACCAAACTTCAATTTGGAGCTGATCTGTTGCATGTCAGCAGCCTCTTCCTTTACTCCTGTCCTTTGTCTCCTAGCTCAGGAGCTGTCCCAGGATGGGAGGGGGGGAGAAGGGAGGGAAGGGAGCTTGAGCTGGGGTTTGCCCAGCCTGCACTGGAGTGGACACAGGTAGATTGGAGCCCCCTGCCTTGGGGGGCTCCAATCCACCTGCCCCCTCTCCAGCACAGAGTTAAAGAAGTGAAGTTAAAGAAGCCAATCTGTTTTGGAGTGCCTTCGTACGAACCCTCAAACAGTGAGGGTTAATTTGCTGCATGATTCGATCTTCTATTAGGACATGCTGTGGAGCACTTTCAAGGGGCTGACTTCACAACAAATATGACTTCTGTCTGCGCCACAGATAATTTGTCTACTACTGGGGGACCAGGATAGATGTAGGTACTTCAGTGATCTCCTGCTTGATCCCCTTTTTGAGGGAAAATACAATGATTTGGGGAATTGATGTACAGTTTATAAATTCTGTTTGACATCTTGAAGATATGACCATGAAAATTGCCACTTTTATTGGAAAGGCCTCCAGTTCTACCTACCAAAATAGGAAAAATAAAGAGGAATTAACCTTAATGACTGCACATTGGTATGCTGAGAACCAATATAGTCCAAAAATCTCTGCAGGGGGCTGGGTTTTAGGAAAGACTAGAAATTCCAAACTGGAACAAAAAACCCTGACATAGTAATGGGAGCATGTAAACTGGGGAATACTGACAGAGACAGCCAGGAATTTTGTGGCACTAGGAAGAGATTTTTGGAGCAGGGACATTAGCTGTGGACAAAGAGGGTGAAATCCTGGTTTTGTTAAAATCAATAGGAGTCTTACAATTGAGATCAGTGTTTACACTTCAGGAGTTTTTACTGAGTAGGAAGTGCAGAATGAGTTTCACCTGGTACTTCCACAAGGTGAAGCAGTAAACAGAGGGAAATGAATCCATCATTCAAAAGTGAGAGGAGCCAAATCTCTTGCTTAGAGAAAATATATAAGCATACATTCATTTGCATGAAATCAGTCCTAAAATGTTAAATGTAAAACAAGAATAGTTTCACAGGAAAAAATCTTTGTGCCTTGAAGGGAAGACATTCTAACTTACTCATCCTACTTGAGGCCTCTGCTCCAGAATAAATAGAGATTTAAATGCTTTTTCAAATAGGAATGTTTGGTTGAATCATGAATTGAATGCCTGATGTGGGTGGGATAAAGTCATATTAAACAAAATTGGAATCATTATTCTCCTATGTGTATTGCATACAGGCTCAGATATCATAACATTACAGACATTCCCTGACTGTATGGTCCTTTCTCCTGAAAACTCTACCCTTTTTTCTGCCAGTCTATTATGCAAGGAAAATGATTCAATTGTTCATACTGAAGCCATAAATCCCAGTTAATGTTGTGGTATAAGAGGATACCTGAATAGATTCTGAGTATTTTGAACTCACAGGTTCTATAACTCTAGAGACTGAGCATCCTCAGCTTGACCATGTTAGGAACCCATGTGATTTCTGAGCTTAACAGCCCACCAATGGAGTAAAATGCAGCTATGCTGTTTATTACCTGTAGACCTCTGGTGCCTCTGGGACCAACTGGACCTTCTCGACCCTGAAAAGTGAGAAGGGGAAAAGGGTCAACAAAAAACTAATTTCTAAATCATATTTGAAGCTATTAAAATGTAGTGAGAAATCAAGAGGAGGTCAGCAATTAGCAAGAAAGTATTGAATAAATATGAAAAAAATATTAAAAATACAGTATGAAAATGAAGAAAAAGTCAGTTCGTAAGCTCCTAATCCTATTGGGTCAAGTCCTATGTGGATTTCATTCAGTGTGTTTATACAGTCAGCCCACAAGCCAACTGTTTAAGATAGACACTGGGCTTCCTTTTCAATTGTATATCCCAGTCTACCTTCTCCCTTAAGCATAGGCCTGATCCTACTCCCATTAATGTCAATGAAAATGTTGTCATTGCCTGAATTGGGAGTAGACTTGGGCCTTAACTGCAAAAATACTAAAATGTAAGACAAGATGGGACAGCCATTGAAAAATGATATTTCTGCAGTTTATCTTTATTCAACCAAACTTAAACATTTCAGGAACTTTTCCCTGTCAGCTTTAAAAATAATCTTTGCCTTAAATCTATGATAATGCCATTATTTAGGGATATTAACTTTTAAATCTTGGGCAATTAGCATCTTAGAACTTCTTCATTCTGTATATTAGGAGAAATATTGTATAACAATGTTTTCCACAAAGCATAACAAACAGATGGTTACTTACTCTGTCACCTTTTATCCCTGGGGTCCCACATTCACCTCTTTCACCCTTAAGAGATAAACCATAAATATTTAAAAAGTTTTCTTAGCATCTCATTATTTAGCATCTCATTTTCATTATGTCTTGTAGTCAGAATGCCTGTCTCAAATCTAGTACTGTACATAATTATTGAGCAATAATGATACTGTAAGCTCTCTGGGCTAGAATACACCATATCTTCCCAAATTCAAGATGACTTCCAATTTAAGATGACCCCCCAATAATTAGATTCTGTACATGGAAAATTATAAATTTGTTACAATTTTCCAGGTCTAGAATTTAATTACTGGAGAGTTGTCTTAAATTTGTGTCCCATTCCCTATCCCATTGCAGCAGCAGGGAAAGCAGTAGCAGGAAGGGAAGGAGGGGGCATCCCTTGCCTCCCCTACTACTTGCCCCTCACACAGTGCCTGTTCCCCCCTAGTACCTTCCCCCTGCCCACCCTTTTCCTCCCCCTGTTTTTCTCCCCCAGAGC